GTTTCATCGGCCGGGAACATCCCAATCTCCTCGCTCTCTCTCCCAGGCTGCCGTTCCGCCTTACGTTCTCTCTTTCTCCTCTCCCTGAACATCATCTCTCGTGCTCTCATCCCCTCCCCTCGCCCAAATTATTCCCCACCTTCCATCCCACTTACCCTGGGAAACAGAAACTATTCCAAAGGAGGCTGACCCTCCCGTGTGTCCCCGTCTTATTCCTCCTCCATGGAGCGAGAGCCAGAGCTTCTTTGCCCGACTCCCTCCCCTCCCTTCTTTGTTGGTTCCTGACGTTATCGCACTTCCCACCCGCCATGGACGCCTCCGGAACCCCCCGCGGGGCGTCGAACGACCTCGACCGCAGCGACCCCGATCTGGCCGACCACAGCGCGGCACGCAAGTCTTTACACGCTGCAGGTCTCCCGGACGATCTCCCCAAGTCTTTGGACGACCGTCGTTCAGTCCCTCTCATCCAACCCGAAACCGAGATGTATGATGCCTGGCAAGGTGCGTTACTACCTCTCCTTACTGGTCGCGCATGAAGAGGAGCCTAGTGCGAGCGACTACATGTGCATTTTTCCTTGGGAGCGCTCGGGGAACTACACGATCAGACAACCCCAGAAGCCCCGCGTGAGATCGAGTATAACGAGAAGTGTAACAGGTGGCTGATCCGTGTCCGCTCCGCAGGCCAATCCCAATTTCTCACCACGCCCGTGGCCGCAAAACCATTGAGCTTCAGTCTAGCCCTCGACGACCATATCCATGACGAAGAACATAATCTACAAGCCCAGTATGGGCGCGGACTGGCCGCATCGACTGACGACGATAACGAATCCACAACCACTGCTCGACTGGAGGACAGTGATGCCCGGTTGATGGAAATGCTTGCTGCGCAGGCTGCTCACCGGGAGGTCGAGTCGCTGGGTGCGGACGAGGAATCCATCGCAACAGACGAGAAGCTATCGGACGCAGAGAAGAAAGATATCTTACAGCGCAGCTTGAACATGGCGGCTAGTAATGGCGACGTGGAACGTGTTCGGAGATTAGTGCAAGGTCATGCAGCTGAATTTGTGGATGTGAATAAGCCGGATGAAGAGGGGACGGTGCCGTTGATCTATGCTAGTTGCTTCGTACGTGCCGTCCTTCAGCCATTTTGTCTGTTTGAGTATGCGCGAAGCTAACCTTCGTTGTAGGGACACCAGGATGTTGTCTCGGCGCTTCTCGACGCGGGCGCCCATATCGATCAGCAGGACCGGAATCAGTGGAGTGCCTTGATGTGGGCCATGACGAACAGACACAAGACAATCGCGAAGATCCTTCTCGACCATGGCGCGTCTCCAGATATCAAATCCTCGTCGGGCGGGACGGCGTTCGACTTTGCACAACCTGGTAGCGAGATTTCAGAGTATCTCCATGAAAATGGTTATCACTCTGGGCCGAGTGCGATTGAAGACGACTTCTACGATTCCGGGTTCGGGCACGGTCGCTTTGAGGAAGAGATTGCTGAGAATGAACTGAAGCGGCGCATGATGATGGAGGAGAGTGCCATCAACCTTGAGGTGGACCTATCGAGCCTGGGGCTCGACGAGAAGTTTGACGTGAGTGGTTGAGTTGAACATAGTGTCTCAGACCAGCGCGCTAATCAGACCGTTTGTTGCCCATTATAGTCGTTGGATGAAGAGGAACTCGAAGAAGAACAGCAAGAATTCGTGTGGGATCGGTGTCTGAACGATCAGATGTTCGTCTTCCAGGAGAGCGAGCTAGAGCGGATCCTCAACATCATCATCACCAACATGACACCGCAACGGTCACCCTCGCAGAAGCCCGTTCCCGCGAACCTCCTCTTTCTCAGTGCTCGATATGCGCACTATCATGCGAGTCCCGAATTGCTTGCCAAGCTGCTCGTTTCGGCGACCGAGAAGATCAACGATGTCGTTGAGCGCCATCAGTGGGACATGACGATCCTAGCTTTCTGGATGTCGAATGCGACGTTGTTGCTACATTACTTGAAAAAGGATGGCGGGCTGGTGGAAGCCACGGTGGAATTCCAGCTACACCTGGCCGAATTGATCAATGAAATCTTCATTCTCATCATCCGCGACGCCGAGCGTCGCATGAACAAAGTGCTCGACGCCGCCATGCTGGACCATGAGACTATTCCGGGCCTGGAGGACGTACACTTCCAAAACGAGTGGAAGCTCTTCCGCTCCAAATCCAAGAAAGCGCCCGAACCGGCAGAGAAGCGCTTCCGACCCCCATCACCCAGGCGGCGCGCACAGGTCTCTCCGCGCAATATCACCTCTCTCCTCTCCTCTACGCTCTTTGTCCTCGATCTCTACGATGTACACTCCGTCATCACTACGCAGATTATCTCCCAGCTCCTGTACTGGCTTGGAGCTGAAACCTTCAACCGCATCATGTCGACCAAGCGCTACCTGGCCCGGACCAAGGCGATGCAGATTCGCATGAATGTGTCGACCCTAGAGGACTGGGCGCGAAACAACAACCGCCAACCGGAGCATTATGAGAACGGATCGACTAGTAGCACGGGCGAGAGCACAATGGAGTCTGCGCGCCGGCATTTGGCGCCAGTGATCCAGCTCCTACAGTGGCTCCAGTGTTTCTCGTCGCTTGGGGACGATTTTGAGTCACTTGTTACGACTCTGCTCCAGTTGCAGCAACTTACCCCGGCGCAACTCTTGCATGCGGTCAAGTCGTATCGGCCCGAGGTCGGCGAGAAGGGGCTGACCAAGCCGGCCATGAAATTCTTGATTGAGCTGCAGCGCGATCCGGGGCTGCTGTTCCGAGAACAAGCGAAACTCCAGGCACCCAAGCCAAATACCACAGCACCCGAGGCAGGATCTACCGATGGACGCCCTCAGACCCCTCCAGCCTCGACTGCTTCGGAGGCGGCCGGATCACCCTCCACACGAGCTTCGGTGGCATCGCCTGGCTCCAGCGTAGCGTCTCCGCACCCGGGTCCGTCGGCGTGGATGGATGAGCGCAGTAACAATGTATTCCTGGACCCGTCCCTCACGCTTCCCTTCTCGCTGCCCACGAGCACAGATATGCTGATTAGTTACGGGGCGGGCTGGGGCGGCACGAACCGAGAACGCGCGCGCAAGTATATACCGACGGTACCTCCGGAGGTGCTGAGTCGGTTCGACCGGGACCACTGAAGCGCATGAGGAAACAGGGGAGATGCGGAACTGGATACCCTGGCATTGCATTTCTAGTATATATATATAGCTTTTATTCATCACTTCCCCTGATCTGGCGAGCATGTTTGGAAGCCGGATTTGAAAGATTTCCTCCCACCGGTCCTGGCTGGTTGGTGTACGTCGCTCAATTTGGTGTTACGTAGCGTGTTTTCCCAGCGAAAGAAAAGGTAGAATCTAAGTAAACAAGAACACCATGAATTCTCAAGAAAGCGGGAATAGAACGATAGGAACAGCAAATAGCAGGAACAATTGACGGAGCGTCAGAGATAAAAAAGAAACCCCGCCCAGCCCACAAGCGAAGAAGATAACGATGAGCAGAAATGTTTCCCCAACGGGGGCTCGGGAGATGAAACGCCAGAGGGTGGGCAAATGATATCTAATTATCTATCTGGTTAGTCCTGTACTCAGTCAGTAGAAGGTTAGTTCCCAACTAGACCAGTTGGTAAGTTAGTTAGTGCGTTAGTCTAGTTCTAGACTTACTGACAGTCAGCCCCAAAAGGGCCGTGCCATGCCATATCCATCCATCCATGCCTTTTGGGCAAGCTCTCCGCTCCACTTTTATCCCTTCTGTTGACGACTACTTTCTCGACTGGGGTGGATGACGAACTAGTAGGTACTAGGTAGATATGTAGGTAGTGCTGGACGGACAAAAGAATATTGTGGATATCAAAATGAATCAATTAAATCAATCGATCAATCAATCAATAACGGCTGACCAAGATTCATTACGTGGGGAGATTAGTGACTTTCAGTTTAGAACAAACCGTAGGGCCCGAAATCGAAATGGGAAATGGATCCCAAAGCATGACGAGTCGCGCACTCCCGTTCGTCGTCATCACCCAACGCCCCCGATTCCTGTCTACGCAAGTGAATCTCCACTTGGGAGGGATGAGATCGCGGTAGATATATAAACTAGTCAAAGGGGCGGAGGGGCAGAAGAGAAGATGATTAATAAACGGGTAGATAGCATGATATCTGGTCGATTTTAAGCTGTCAGTGCTTTTTACACTCTTTTGCCCTTTTACCTCCTACTTTTTCTCTCTCTCTTCTTTTCCCCCCTGGCTGGCCTGGCACATCCTCAGGCTGTCAAATTCCCGATCCAGACTAGTGCATCGCGGGGACCTGTCCCGATTGGGTAAGTGTGTCTTTCCTGTTTTGGGTGCTTCCCTGTTTGGGCAATTGCGATGCTTTCCTTGTCTTTCCTTGCCTTTTCTATTCTTCCTTCTTTCTTTCTTTCTTTTCTTTTCTCTTCCCTTCGGGCTTCATCATTCGCATCTTGTCTTTCGCCTGTCGTTTATTTGGTCTGCTGTATACCCAAGCAATTGCTCTCGTGTGGGCTGTTAGCCACTTTCGGTCCCGTTTAGTTTCTCCAGCTGCCCTTCCCCGTGTGCATGAAACCAACTACTACGACGTCTACTTCTATCTACTACTACTACTACTACTACTACTATTACTACCACCTTCCTTCTACTGCTTCCCCCTTCCCTCCCCAGGCAGAAGATGCCTCTGTGCATCCTTTCCCTTTTTCTTCTTCTTCTTCATCCCGCCTCTCTTGGTCTCTTTTGATTTCATCGTTTTCCAATTCCTTTCATGTCTATGTTTGTCGATCATAACTTGAGTGTGGAGCGGTGATCCCCTCGTTATCTTTCTGCCTATCTATCTCCGCAATCTTAGTTTATGCTGTCTGTCGTTTTCTCTACGTTCATTTGTGAATCGGACTTCTTGACCGCTCTCCCCTCCCCATAATCCAGCCCAATTGAGCCGGATGCAAATCAAGAAAGAATCATGCTGCTCACACTGAAGCCTGCCTCTCAGAACGGAGTTAAAGGTCCTCATGAGTACTCCATTGTTCGCCAGTCCGTTCCAACCCCACGGTCATCCCCGCCCCCCGTGCCTGACCTGCCAGCAGCGGTCACCGCGCCCCCAAGTTCCTCTGCGGACCGCTCCATGGACCCCTCGCGCTCTGGATTGCCGCCTCCTGCCTCGTTAACCTTACCGCCACCCAATGTGGGCTTTGCCAATGTATCTGGCTCTGCCATGAACCAGCCACTCCCGCCGCCCCCGGGTCAATGGCAGTCCTCGGATGACTCCATGCGACAATGGCTCCAGGCCAAAGCGGAGGAGGATCGGAGGAAGCAGGAAGAAGAGAAGACGCGCCAAGAGACCCTACGACTCGAACAGCGGAGGGTCGAGCAAAGCATGCTTCGTGATTCCTTACAGGCCGGTGTCCCACCCCAGATGATCCCGCTCATCTTCGCCGGCATCAGTCCCGGCGGTCTGCCGGCATCGATGCTCGAACTCACTCAACAATACCTTACTCAACCCTCGGCAGCGCGCAGTTCGGCTCCTCAGATGCCTGTCATGTCTCATGCACATCCCCATGTTCAGCGTCGGCCTACGCATGTCCGTCAAGACTCCCGTACCATCCCTTCAAATGCTTATGTTGCTCCACCGGTGCACCCTCAAACTGTGCCTCCTCCAGGAGTCCTGCTATCCCAGCCATTGCATGCCGTTGGAGCCTCTCCTACCCCGCAACCGCTGGGTCGTCCGTCAGTATCCAATGGCCCCGCTGATCCACGCTTTACTGTTGCGGCTATCCCTCGCATGAACCCGGGAGAGTCACAGCTCCAACCCCCCATTAATCTCAGCAATGTGCACTATGCCCCGGGATCGTCTATCCCGTCAACTCAGCCGCCCCGGGGCAAGTCAGATTCTTCGGTTCGCCGGTCCCCACCATCCCTATACTTCCACCACTGGGTTCCTCCAGGCCAGACGACAGGACATGCGCCACCGGGAAGAGGCAGGCAGGAATCACCGGGTACCGTGCAGGGATCTCGTCATGTGGACTCCAATGTCTCCCCCGGACGGAAGAGAAAGGCCCATGGGGCACACCATCCAGCTCCATTGCCCTCGTCTCGTCTCCCAGAATCCTTTCCTGGCTCCTCGCAGACATCTCAGCCAGGGTCTCCGGGCCCAGAATACCACATTGAGCAAGCAGCACCACCGACACACCACCATCACTCTCTTCCAAGATCGAGTGACGCGTCTGCTTCGTACCAGATTCTGGCGGAAGATGTGAAACGTGAGCACCGCAGTCGAGGTACTAGCCCGACTCACTCATCAGAACGTATGATTGTGGACGATGCTAGACCGACAGAACGTGATCGAGCAGATGAGGAGGAACATTATCAAGAGACAACTACTTCTGCAGGACATGCTTCACCCCACACAGCTCGGGTACAGCGCAGTGAAGCAGCATCTTATCACGATCCTCGCAGCAGTCCTGCCCGTTCACCAACAAGGACTCTGCAGCCGTCCAAAGAGTATAATCTCGCCTCGGAAGACTAGGATCTATGCGACTTCAAGGGAAATTCGTTGCCGTCTCCGAAAGCGCATTTTAATTTGAGACAAGTGACGTCCCACATTCCGATCCATCGCCCTCTTCACATCTACAAGCTGCAGGATAGCAACCCCACGGAAGGTTGTCTATCACATTTTGCCATTCTCTCTTTTTCCAAGAATTCCTTCTCTTGTTTCAAGCGTTTCTGGATTTGCTGCAGATACCATTTCTCATTGCGTTCCTCTTATCCTGTTCGTTTTCGATTCTTTTCGTATACCATATCGATATATGGATTACCCTCGACTGGATCGCGGCGGTTACCAGGAATCTGGTCCATTTCTGAGCTCTGTTGTCCTGCAGCTGGGCTGATGGGACTGACCAAAAGTCTTGGGATATATATTGATACCACAGTGCGCGTGATTAGCCTTTCTAGAGGGTGGGTTTGGGTTTGTACGGAATACAATTGGCATGTCGCTTTGGTGGAGACGTATTCGAGAAATGTTGCCGATATTTTATTAGGAATCTTTACAGTCAACTACTTATGGTTACAGATGAGACTCTAGTAGACGAGGGACTAGCTAGCTACATAGGCAAGACCAGGGTCGATAGATAGATAGATAGATGGATAGACTGCCGGGATGGGTCCCGCACAACAATAACTGTGGCGGTTACCACCTGACAGATGAATGAGACAAATAAGACATCAACAACGTAAAAGAGAGACCACGAAGTAACGCAAGATGAAACAGACATACAGACAACAAAGAAAACAGCGATAACGATAGAAGAGAAAATAAAAGGGGTATCAGAGTCAACAACAAGGTATTAAGTATGTAGTTGGTTTGGTCCCTAGTATATAGGAAATGATAGGTAGTGTGCAGTGTGCTGTGTGCAGTGTAGCAGAAACCAGAAGCAGATGGGCGAAGACAGACAGCAAAGGAAAATATCAAAGGGAAGGGCCAGCAGATGTATAGAGAGAGAGATAGACCAGACAAGACAAGGAAATTGATTTGGGAATGAAAGTTCAAAAGTGGGCGGAGTTATATAGTGAGAGGGATTATGTATGGGTGTATGGATATGTATGTGTGTGTTAGACCTGACTGGTGACACTCCCTCAAACTGCCAATTCCGTACATTGGGAGTTTTCAAAGGGATATGGGTAGATATGGATGTGTGTATACATCCATCGTGTATCTGTGTATCCGTGTCTGCATCGAGAGTGGGCAGGTGACAGGCATATAAACACGTTTTCCATCTTGAGAGAGAAAGAGCCGAAGTGGGTGTATGTAGGGTATGTATTAAAGATGAAGCGAGAGTGCGCGTATGTATGTGTGTAATGTATGTGACAGAGCGAGTATGTATGTATGTAAGTATGTTGCATGTTGTATGTATGTATGGATCCATTCGTAGTTCGAGAAACACAGACAAACAAAATTTTTGTCTGTTGTTGTTGTTGTTGTTGTTGTTGTTGTTGTTGTTGTTGTTGTCGTCGAACGAGGTAGAGTGAGTGATTGGTATCGTGATGTGAGAGCCGTCAAAGAAAAGTAGTCCATGAAATAAAAATGTAAACGAGAAGTAAGTAGCAATGTCGGAGAAGAAGAATAACCGTATTATAAATAAGTGAAAGAAACAAAACGACTTTTGTTCATTCATCAAGAATTCGTCGGGTCGAATCGTAAAAGAGGGTAAGGTGTCGAGGATTGCGGATCGGGTGAGTATATTATAAGGTAGGGTTGTGCTGTATGTATTATTGAAGTGAATCTGCGGATCTAGTCCGCGTCGTAGATAGAGGTCGTCACATCACGTCACTTGTGTACTTGCTTTGCTGCTGCGGCTGCTCACAGCAAAGCCACTAAGAGGCCTTTTTCCGACGGTGCACTTTCCACTCTGCTTTGGCGACACGCATGAATAGCTCGATGTCCTTGATGGGAACCCAGCTGGTGAGGACTTTCATGGCGTTTTCAAAGTCGGATTCGAGGATAATGTCGCGCATGCCATCAATCAGGGCGGCGGAGGTCGCGTGAAGAACATCCAGTCCGTTTCCAAAGGCACTGGTGGATGCCTCTTTCTTGCTGCCTTTGCCTGAGGAGCCGGGTGCCGTGAGGTCCTCGGCATCACCGAGAAGCATGAAGACGTCCCAGACGCGGAGTTGAGCGGGGAACGGGATAGAGTAGTTGAAAAGGGTCAGATACCACCGTGTGCCGTATGCTGTGGGAGGAATTCCAAGCTCATTCTAAGTTCTGGTTAGGAAACGGTGTACCGAGAGATATGGGAAGATGCTGTTTGACTCACCAGCTTGGCAGCTACCTCTCCTTTTTCTAGCCACTCACGTTCAAAATCCCCCAAGGCCTCCATGAGGCCTGAAAAGCCGGACTGGTACAGACGCTCCAGACCTCGTAATTGCCACAGTCGTACGAGCATGATAAATGCGTGTTCTTCGTCGTAGTAGGCGAGGAGAGTCGCAGCAAGAGCAGCCATACCCTGGACGTATCCCGTGTCTGGAAAGTACAAGGACATTGCGTGGAGTACTCGGAATAATAGTCGTTGGCCTCCGCGATACCGTCGCCGGAACATGATGTGACTGGTGATGGTTCTCGGGACGTCGATATCAATCTGGACATCATCGGGCGAGGAAACCAATTGGAACTCGTTGAACGCTTCAATTAGCTCCTCTTCTGAAGGGCTATCACTGTGCAATCTGGCGCTGGCTTTCAAAAAGGCGTACCAAGCGGTAGCTCGCCATCGGTCAGGGATGCCTTTCCATGTCCGCTCGATCAGCTTGGAGCTTGTCGTGTCGAACTCGAATGTCATGCCACCGCCATCTCCGCTCCGCATCGGGCGGGCCATTTTTGTCCATTTATCTTCTCTCTCCCACTCTTTCTTTCTCGCCGCGCGGGCGGCAGCTGCGTCCTGTTTCTCGCCCGGATTCAGAGGAGCTGTCGGGTGGGTGAGCATATCGCTTGCCTCATCTTTGACGCGGCGGTCGCGATTGTGTGGCAGATGGTTGGCGGCCCGACGAAACCGCGAGGTTGATCGTCGCATCATCGTTGTACTATACATGCTGTGAGAGGAGGTTGGCCGTATTGAAGGCTCAGACATCTTGCGCGTTGGGGAGCGGCCTGTGAGGCCAGAAAAGGAACGATTCCCTCCAATGGCGGAGGGTGGACGGATGGAGTGTTTCCGTCGCGGTGTCTCAGAAGCCATAAGTAGGCTGGTAGAGACGCGCTGGATGGGACTGGGGTCAATGCCCTCGTTGGAGTTGGACGTCGGTGAGCGGATGAATCCGTATCGGTCGACGTCTCCGGCCTTGATATTCTGCCAGTACTCAATGCCTCCAGCTAGCTCGTGGGCCTCTCTTTTGATCGTTGGTCCGTTCTCTGGACCGAGAGACGACACCACACTTTTGGTATCCACTGACACACTGGGTCCAGAAAGACGAGAGGTCTCCATACTGGTTGGGGTATCTTCCCACAAAATGCCATTCTCCATGGCCATGGACTTCGCTACTTCTGAGTCTGTCACATTTTCTTCACCCTTCTCATACATCAGCCGTACCCGTCGCGACAACATATCTTCGTCCGCAGAGATGGCTCTGCTTGCCATGGCGCTGTGCCTGACTCGGAGGGTCGAGACGGGCTTTGACCGCCTCGATGGCGTCTCAATAGTCTCCGGCTCTGTGCTATTTTGTTCCGACGAAGCGACATCAGGTGACGCCGGTTCTCTGTCATCAGGTACCTCTCCATCCTGGGTCTGTTGGCCCGCCTCTCGTCGTCTTGCTTCCTCTTGTTCGATTTGCTGTTGTAATTGGCGTTTCGATTCCTCCTTGATAAGACTTCCGCGCTTGGAGAAACGCATTGATTGCGCTCCGAGGCCATCAAGGGCCGAATTCGGGATATCGAGAGCGATGCCATTGAAGGGAGCTTGAATCGGCGGTACAGGGGGGGTATCTTCATCACGATCGAATTCGCCCGACTTCTTACTTCTCAGACCGCCCCATCTGCGCTCCGACCACCGCGAACCAGGACGGGATCCTGGGCGGGATGCAGGACGGGAGGCGGTATCATTGACAATGATACTGGGGATGCTATTGCGCAGCGAGCGCAAGCTCACGGTCGAGGCCCCAGCCTCTGGTAAGGCAGTGAACCTGTTCCGCCGCGATCTGGCATTTTGTTGCGACGGCGCGGACCCCGACTGATCCCAAGCACTACCGGACGATGCGCTGTGCGATCTTTCCTCCGAGCACGAAGTACAATCCACTGGGGTAGGGTATGAGGCGGAACGAACGGCGATCGGGGCCGTGGCGGCGATGGTGTCGTCGTAGGGAACGGTCTGGATGGTTGAGGTGGAGTCGGACATCACGACAGCAGGGACAGAAGCGGATCGCGTTTCTACCATTATCCTGGCATCGCTTGCGCCTTAACTCGAGGGATGGGGAAATACGTTCTGGACGGAGCTGCGAAGGGCTTTTGAGCCTTCTGGACGAGCCGGGCGAGACGGTGGTGCACGCTGGATTAACCAAGGGGGGGCGAGGGCGCGAGCGAAGGAGGGAGGGACAGGGAGGGAGGCGGGGAGCGATAGCAGGACTGTAGCCACAAAGGAACAGGATGTGAGAACTGGTATTCTGGCACGAAAGAAGGGTCACGGCTTGCGATTGATTAAGATTTGGAAATTATTAGGATTAAGATTAAACGGTCACACAACGGAAAATGAACGACACTGGGGGGAAGAGGTCTCTTGCGCAGCGAACCATGGCCCCCAAATGGTTGCGAGGAACGGAAGGCGGACGAGCAAAGGGAAAGACGGAGGGCAGAAGAATGGCTGGACCGCGGCAAGAAAAAAAAAAAAATAAAATATAGTAAAAATAAAAATAAAATAAAAATGAGAAAAGAGCAAGCAAAGAGAGTGTCAGTCAAGTCAGAGCCAGGCTTGGCGAAGGTGATAGCTTTCCAAATAATAATGATGATAAAAAGCAAGAATAATGAAAAGTAAAAGGGAAAAAAAAAAAGAAAAGAAAAGAAAAGAAAATAGAAAAACAGACGACGATGGAGCGAGAATTGAAGGAGAGAACGTTGAGAACCAAAGAATGTGGTCACAATGAGGTGTATCTTGTTCTCGCACTGGCAATTGGAGAATGAGGAAGCGGAAAGTGGAATGGAGAATCTCACCCTCCCGTTGGTTTTGTATTGGCTGAAAGGAGTGTCTACTTGGAGTAGTCGTAGTAATAATAGTTGTTGTTCATGAGTAGTAGAAATAGTAGTGTATCACTATTTAGTATCCTACCAGGAGTTCAACCCTGAGAATTCCCTCCAGTTCAAACTTCCCGGTTCTAAACGAAACCGAAGAGAGGGGGGGAAAATAAAAATAAGAATAAAAATAAAAGGAACGAGGACGACGACAACAACAACGTCTCCTTGTCTTCAACCAACTCCAAAGGCAAGGATCACGAAGGGGGGCCTGCGATCCACTATATAATTAATTTAGTATCATTTAATTCCTCGGGAGGGCCACGCAGCAGTGGATCTTCACACGGTTAATTTTACGTTGGACTTCCCAGATTTTGATAATAATAGAAATGGAGACACTGCTAGTATCTAGCAGGACTCCAGTCAATCCATTGGTACGGGGAATGAGAGAGAGAGAGAGAGAGAGAGAGACTGTGTGTGTGTGTGTGTGTGTGTGTGTGTATGTGTGTGCGTGGGATTGCACCCAATTGTTCTTGTCCAATATTCTGTTTTTACTTTATTTTATTTTTTCTGTTATTATTCCTCCTATCTTCAATTTGAGGGAACTCAATCCCACGCCAAACAGGCAACGTAACGGTTTGTTCGCTTGCTGGCTTTATTACTACTCCAGGAGTTCAAAACTACTTACTGACTAGTCACGGATTTGACTGTTTGACGGGCTGATCTTCTTCCCCCTCGTTTTGCGCACAAACCACCAAGATTGAAACTGGAAATTGGGGCTCTTCTCTTACTCTCCTTCCTCGCCTATCATGGGAGAAGCAATTACATCCTAACTGACCTAACTCTGATAGAGTTCATTCCTATTAAGTATCTACAGAATCTTGTACCTGTTTGCTTTTCTCTCTCCTCCCTTTTGCGTTTGGATTTTTGGGCTTGTAATGTGGTATTTTTCAGTTTCCGGCCCCGTAGGAGATAGCGTCGGCTCTCTCCCTACTCCTAGTCGACTACTAATCTTTTAGGTTGCAAGATAGACAGCATGAGTGGATGATAGTGACCGGCTGAGGAAAGGGGAAACGTCAGTCTCTCACTATTTTTTCCTACTAGAAAGTACACTAGCAGTGGCTTCGCTCCCTCCCCCTTGACAGAGAGGAAGGAGGGGGTAAGTTGTTGCTCGGGTGAAGAATTCAGTCAGGTCTGTGTGAAATTCTCCGTCCTTTGTCTACTAGTACTAGTCGTCTACTAGTAGCAGTCCTGCAATCCTGCATTATTATATGCATGGATGATAAACTTACAGTTCCCGGTTTTTATTTCCAGGATCTCTACAGCGTAGTTACTAGTAGTATCCCGTAAACGCTCTGATCCACTTCCATGATTTGCCTACTGACTTTATCTACATCCCGCGTTACTTACATGCAAGGACTGCTGCCCTTTGGGGCGATTCTTTATTCTCGTGCACTTCTTTCTCCTTTCTGCCCTTCGCCTTCTGCCGATTTTCAGGTTTTAAAATCAAACCCTAATTTCTGTCTCCTTTCTTTCCCTTTAGATTGTGACAACCCACTGTAAAACTCCGAGAAGGCTAGAAACCAGCTCGCCTTCAATGCAAACAAACGGCACCGCGGCCTTAGCGTGCCCCCAGTGCACACGGCCCTCCGACGCAGACCCGCACATAGTCAACAAAGGACAAGCAGGGGTAAAAAGCATATTGGCACGGGAGGATCGATAGATTGGCCGTTTCCCTGCCAATGGTCGCAGCTTAATTCTCGACTCCCAGGCCTTCAGGCCACTGCTGCCGTGTTGATGCCGGAGCGAGACGCTTCGCGCGCGGAGCGTGCTGGCTCAATCGGCTCCTTGGGGAGAAGCTCGATCTGGCGCACCAGGAAACTTTTCTCATCCGTAAATTGATCGTCGTCCGTCCGGTCCTCTAGGAACCTCGGTAAGAATTTCAACAGCCGATCACGGTTGTTGATCAAAATCCGCTGCACCGCAACCGATTTATTGGGGTTGGCAACAAATACCTGTAATGTAATAACGGTCAGTGGCCTGGGTCCTTGCAGCGGACCAAGCTGGAATCTGCCCACATACCTTGAACACGTGGAAGCCTTCGTACTGGACCATCTTTCGGTCGTCCCGCAGCAGTTTCATACACAACTTGAGATTCTCCCCGCTCTCCACATAGGCCATCATCACATTGTAGTTCGTTCGGTCCAGGAGGATCTCTCCTAGTAGCTTGATGCTTTGTCGTTTCGTGACATACGAGCTAGACTGAACAAGTACTTCGTTGAATTTGGAGAAGAAGAGATCAAAGTTCGTGGCTAGATAACCCGTAACGATGGATTTATGGCGGGTCAATATCTCCTGCACATCAGTTAGCTTCCGAGACGACATGGTTCCCAAGGCTGACACAAACACTCACCCTAAACGTTGTGAAAGAGTCGGCACTCAGTTCGAAGCTCCCTCGGTCGATCCAGTAGAAGAACCTCCAGAATATACCATTGCCCTCTTGAGGCACGCCTGGCTGGACCTCCGTCAGGCGAATCGCTGGCTCCCCGTCTTCCGACTGGTCATAGAGGATGATCGCCGCGATAACATCAAACTTCAGCGCTTCTCGCAAGATAGTGCCGCATGGCATGGCACTTTGGCTATGTTCATAGCCCTTGCACAGTTCGATGATGATTTCGGGTCGTTTGTGGACAATGTAGGAAATGACAGGAGGGTCTGCATGGTTTGCATTGACAGGTTTGAAACGGAGGATGTGTGAGAAGATGGTTTGTGTGTCTTTCCGGGCTTCGAAGGGCAGGCGATGAAGCCCTTGGGCTAGTTCGTAGAGCAAGTCTTCCTGCAGGGTAGCCTGCACTAATGCCTGGACTTGTTCGGGGGACACCTCGATTTCTGAAAGGCAAGCTCACATCAGCCGACGTACATTTAGAAGCCCTTCTCGGCTCCTGCACTTGTTCCGGGAGAAAGAGAGCCATTGGTAGGGGTTCATGCATGAGACATACCTTGAGTACCCTGGACAATAAGTTTCATCTGAGATAGTTGCTTCGCCAGCTCATCTTCGACCTGTCGGAGTACGGGATGGGGTCAGTACTCCTTTGTTTTGAAAGCTGCTTATCGGCAACCGTAGACGTAAACATAACAGATCTGAGCGACGAACCTTGGCAGTGGTTGGCGATTCTCGTAGCCTCACCAAGAGTTCTTTAATTGATCTGGCAATGTCCGAAGGCTGGCGGGACCGACCGCGGTTGAAGAAGAAGGCCATGGTTGTTTGTATTGGCAACAAAACCAAAACAGGGAGGGAGTGAAGGCGGAGGGGATAGTGGCTCCTCGCGGGCAGCACACCAGCTAGAGGGACATGTAAGGGAGAGTAGGTCAAACAAACAGAGTGTCACGGACTCTCTGCAGCTGCAATGGTAATAACAGTGGACTTCAAGGGGGGGTATCTGGCAGGCGAGCAAGAGGGATTGTTGGTCTGCGATGCTGTGAGGGAAGCGGTGACGCTGTTGTTGGCGGGGAAGCCGACGGCCTCAGGCTGTTATCGCAGTTCTGGGCCCGTCAGGTGGATAAACAATCGAGTCCCAAGCCGGCGGGGCTGCTGCCTTTTCCGAGAATTTTCCAATTTTCTCCCCTCGAATTTTTGACTTTTTTTTCTCCGGCGGGATTCTCGACTCTACCCCTCCTCAGGTACTTCCATACAGAATTCTGTCGGCAGCAACCATTTGCTTCGACATCCTCGTTCTGTTTCTTTGCGATATCTAGTGACGGTGTCTTTGGATCAATCTCATTTAGTTGACGCTTAAGACGATCCATATCAGTCCCGCTCCTACAAAAATAACCGTCTCAATTGGTTTTGTTTCCCCGCAGTTGCGCCATGTCTGCTTCCGCCCTCCCCTCTGAGCGTCTGCCCAGAGACGATGATGCACGCTCCGTCTCTTCCGATGGTTCGGATGTAAGCAACGAGGAAGGATGGGAAGATGTCGAGCCCGATGATGATACCCAGCCCGTCGTTGGCTTGTTCTCCGAGAAGGTCTACCCCGACGTGCGGGCCATGCTCAAGGAGACCAAAGAAAAGTACAACTTTGACCTACGGAGGATTCAAAAGGAGCTCGGTGTGTAGTCAATTGTACTTCGATTTAGCATCTGATATTTCCCTCCGTTGCGCAAACGCGGACGAATGTCTGTTGGACGTTACACTTGATATGAATTATGGCTAACCTATCTCAACTTGTGTTTCGCTATCAGACTTGGACTTCCTGGGCACGATCAAGTTGGTCAACTATGTCCGGACTCAGGTGAAGGAAGGCAACATGTCTCCCGACGTCTCTTCCACCGACAAATTCGAGGATGATGCTTATCTGAAGCCCGTGCTGGAGGACGATGCCCTTCTCTACAGTCTGGATGACATTGAGGACGAAACCCCCGAGACAACTGGTGGTTCTGACGCTGAAAGACGCGTGATCGAGCTCCAGGAAGACTTAGAACGCCTTCAGACTCAGTTCTCCGAATATAGAGAGGCCGTGCAGAAGTCTATGGAAGAGCAACTGACCAAGGAGGATGAGAAGCTTGGCTCTACCCTCAGTGCTGCGTCCGCTCAAAAGGCCGCTAACAGGGTCGAAGAAATTGATGCGGATTACTTCACTTCCTACGCCTACAACGGTATGTTTTTCCTGACCCTGGGGCTGCTTGGTTTCTTCTACTAACGCGCTGCCCATCTAGGAATTCACGAGTCCATGCTTAAGGATACCATCCGCACTGATTCCTACCGCGACTTCGTATATGAGAACAAACACGTGTTCAAGGATAAGGTTGTCCTTGATGTCGGTTGCGGAACTGGCATTCTGTCAATGTTCTGTGCGAAGGCCGGTGCGAAGAAGGTTATCTCGGTCGATAATTCCAACATCATCGATAGAGCCAAGGAAATCATCTATGAGAATGGGTTCGGTGATATCATAACGTATGTTTCGCAGTATCTTTGTTTCCTCCAGTTGCGCGACTGACAGCTGATGTCTGAACTTCCAGGTGCATCCGCGGTAAAATTGAGGAAGTCACGCTGCCAGTCCAGCAAGTTGACATAATTATCTCCGAATGGATGGGCTACGGTTTATTGTTCGAGGCCATGTTTGACTCGGTCATTTACGCTCGGGACCGCTATCTCGCCCCTGGAGGACTCATGGTTCCCTCGCACGCTACGCTCCGCGTTGCTCCTTTCGCCGACCCTGACTTCATCGCAAACCACATCTCATTCTGGAAGAGCGTGTACGGCTTCAATATGAGCAGCATGCTGACTGGTATCTATGATGAAGCTCTGGTCCGTACCGTGGAGCCATCATCGATCCCTGGCCAATCTGCCGTTTTCCTTCCCCTTCCTCTACATACCATCACTGTTGAGGAGCTGTCGTTCCTGAAGGAATTCCAGGTCACTCTTACCGAGGACATTGACGCGCTGGACGGTTTTGCTATCTGGTTCGATATCTTTTTCATGCCCTCGAGGGACTCACCGATTGCGGACGACGCCGTTCCTTCCGAAATGCAGAAGAAGGGCATCGTCGCTTTCACCACGGGACCTTATGGTAAAGAGACGCACTGGCAGCAGAGTATTCTTCTCATTGATCATGAGAAAAGGAAGGGCGTTCCCTTGAAGAAGGGCCAGACCATTACTGGAAAGGTGGGCTACCAGAAGAAGTCGGAGAAGTCCCGCTCCTTGGATATTACCATCGAATGGGATAGCCAGGATGCCGAAAAGGGCTCCCAGAAATGGGGTCTGCAATAAGTTGCAGGTCTCGTTGCAGACTCATCTCCTGTGGGAGTAGATAGATAGTTCTCGCAATGCGTTAGTCATAGACAAGGCTCGCTACCTGCTTCAATCGATTAAGAGTACGACTCAAAGAACGTAGCTTTAGATCGTGTACTAGAGAGCCTAGGATTGTAAGCTGCCGGTGCAGATCTGAACCCTTCAGCGTCTCGATCGGGAGTCTTCATCATGGCGTCTAGTTTCCTTGTGTCGACGGTGTCGATCATGATGAGAACGATGAGACCGCGAATCAGAATGAGAGGGTCGTCGATGCGAACGATCTCGACTTCTATCTCTACGATGCCGATGGTGCCGATGGGATCTTCCGTCCCTGTCATCTCGACGCCTATCCGGAGAAGGATCGAGTCTAAAGCCTTCGAGGCTATCCTGCGATGGCGACCTCCTACTGCGGTGAGAAGATCGACGCTTTTCTGAAGCCTTCAGAGCTTCCAGCTCTCGACCTCGTTCCTCGTTCCACCTTTTCCTCTCCTGCTCAACCGCCTTCAACTGACGGACGCCCTTTCTCATCGCCGCGAGTGGATCATTTGCATCCATCCGGGCCTTCTCCCTTTCTCTCCTTAACGGGTCCTCATTTCCCCAGACATCCTTGCTTGGCATAGATTCAGCAGCTGCACCCTCGCGTTGCGAAGACGAGTACCAAGGGTCTTGCCCAACAGACTGCCGAAACCCCGCCGCATTGGAGAATCGCATCGTGTATTGGTCTTCAAGTTCTCGTTCCTTTTCTTTCGCCTCCTTTTCTGCCTCTGCATTCTTTTCCACAGGCTTGTGCTTCGCCTCCGAAGGAAACAGATCAATGTGACCAGTACTATCATGAAGTGGCGCATCGCTTGACCGAGCGGCGGCTTGTTGTTCCCGTCTATCCAGCGCCAACCGTGCATCTTCCTGTGCAAATCTAATATCTCTATCCGTGTCATCCTCTCCTGCTAAGCGCCTTCTCTTTCTAAAGCGCCCTGCATCCTCTGTATGACTTTTCCGGTCTTGTGGGCGGGCGGACGGCGCTGGGGGCGGCGGAGGTGGAGTCGAAGGTCGTTCACCGCGGAGTATCTGAATCCTTCGTTCAGCATCAGCTTCCTGCATGAGACGCTCTTCCTCCTCTTCTTGGGCTTTGGCCTGGGCCTCGTCGCGCCGAACGCGCTCGATGTTCGCTGGGTTGTAGACGTTCCATGACTTCTTTCCGAGGAGGTGACTGCAAAAGGACACTGTAAGTACTCAAGCATGGCAAGACAGGAAGCAGAGGGTATACTGACAGAGGCATATTTAAGATGTGGGTATGATGAACTGGAGGGGATGAATGTATCAGATCTCCCTCCGGGGTGTGTGAACGAGGAGCAGCGTCATCCAGACCGGTCGGCGAAGACGGAGGTGGGCGGACCGATCGATGGGGCGGGAACCCTGGGTACCTTACCTACGGTCCATGTGTCGCGGGCGCTGGAGCTTTCCCCCCCCATCCAATGTGAGACCGCCACCTCTCAACTATTCTTCTTTCTCACCATCCTCTACCTCACTTTTTGTTCCCTATACTTAACTGCCTATACTCAGCTTCACTTATTGCGTTTGTACTCATATACTATCTAGTCATAATCTGGTCATCCGAGTACTTAACCTTCAAGGCAACAGCTGCTGGCAGCATCGCTTCGCCACCTTAACCAGCCTATAAATACCCCGTTCTCGTCTGGAAACTCATTGCATTTCCTCTAAATACACAACTCAAAGTCCTCCCCCTACTTGGATTGAAGATGTTCAATCGCAACAACTATCCTTCGGTCCCTAACCCTTTCGGCTCCCGCCCCTCTCGAGGCGACGGTTATACCACCCCAGCTCAAGGACAGAACCCCTACCCCTCCAGGTCGGGCGCAAGGTATGGGCCTTATACTGCATGATAATGAGACGACAATGGCTGATATGCTTGATAAATAGTCCTGCAGGATACGGAGCGCCACCCCAGTATACGGGAAGACCGCCTCAAATGCCTCCGAGGAACCCCGTTGGAGAGAAGCCCGTGAGCTCAGGCCGATCCTGGACGCTACGTCCTACAAAGAGCCCCGATAATACGTATACGTTTGGAAACTTGTACGTTCAAGTGTGGTCGCTGTCTTGCTTGCCCTTCTTTTAACCGTGTCTAGAGTTGCCGTTTCCGCCCAGGAATTCCCACCCTCCCGCGATGGACACGATCTCCTCCTACTCATCAACGGCCTCTATGTCTTCTCCGCACGCCCTCTCGACGGGTTCCCCCCGGGACAAATCAGCATGTCTGATCCTCAGCGGACATGGGCTGGTGTCGCTTTCACGGATACCGTTTCGGTGCAAATCTACGATCCCTTCAGTCAGGGCGGACAAGCCTACGTCGGTTCTACAGATATTGAGGTTGGGTTTGCTGGGAAGAAGCGAGTGGAGACTCCATATGATCAAGATGAGCTGGCAAGTGTGGTGATCAAGGTACCTTCCCCTTCTTCCGGTGGAATAAGAGCAGCGCCTGATGTGTACAGAACTTCGAAAACCAAATTTTCGCCCCCGGCCAAAAGATTTTGATGGATCATCGAAGCATCCCACTCCTGTTGACCGTCAAGACCGTTCAGAGAGTCGATCTGTCCTCTGAGACTGCCAGCGGTGGCAGTGTCGAGACGGACCCTACGGCGCGGGGTATTCTCACCAGGCACTCTCAGATTACGTTCTTCAAGGACGCTAGTACTGGTATCAACATGAAGCCTTCGAACCGCCGACCAGCGGCGAACTCCATCATCCAACCTGACTTCAAGTTCGAGAACATGGGCATCGGTGGTCTTGATTCCGAGTTCAGCACCATCTTCCGTCGTGCGTTCGCGTCCCGTATCTTCCCTCCGGGGCTGGTGGAGAAATTGGGACTTCAGCACGTTAAGGGTATCCTGCTTTATGGCCCTCCAGGAACGGGTAAAACATTGATTGCTCGTCAGATCGGAAAGATGCTGAATGCCAGGGAGCCTAAGGTCATCAACGGACCCGAAGTACTTAACAAGTACGTTGGTCAGTCTGAAGAGAACATTCGTAAAATGTTCGCAGACGCCGAGAAGGAATACAAAGAAAAGGGAGATGAAAGTGGTCTTCACATCATCATCTTTGATGAACTGGACGCTGTCTGCAAGCAGCGTGGCAGTGGAGCCGGAGGTGGTACAGGTGTTGGTGATAGTGTGGTGAACCAGCTGCTCTCGAAGCTGGATGGTGTAGATCAGCTCAACAACATTCTGCTTATCGGAATGACCAACAGAAAGGACATGATTGATGAGGCACTGTTGCGTCCTGGTCGTCTCGAAGTTCATATGGAGATCTCCCTTCCTGACGAGAAAGGCCGAGCCCAGATCCTTAAGATTCACACCCAAAAGATGCGGGATAACGACGTCATGGACGATGATGTTGACTTGGCTGAGCTGGCCCTGATGACCAAGAACTTTTCTGGTGCTGAAATATCTGGTCTTGTGAAGTCCGCATCTTCTTTTGCATTCTCCCGGCATATAAAGGCGGGTACGACGGCCAGTATCAGCGACGATGTGGTGAACATGAAGGTCAACCGGTCCGACTTCCACCATGCGTTGGAAGAGGTCACACCCGCGTTTGGTGTCTCCGAAGAAGAGCTCTCTAGTCGCATTCAACATGGTATCACCCACTTCTCCCCCGTTATCAATGAAATTCTTAAGGAGGGTGGCCTGTTCGTCAAGCAAGTTGGGGAGGATGAATCGTCGCCCTTGTTTTCGGTCTTGCTACATGGGCCCACTGCAAGTGGCAAGACGGCTCTCGCAGCTCGAATTGCTATTGACTCTGGATTCCCTTTTATCAAGTTGATCAGTCCCGAGGACATGGGCGGCTTCAGCGAGACGGCAAAGGTTCAGCGCATCATCAAAGTCTTCGACGATGCTTACAAGAGTCGCACAAGTGTTGTCGTCATCGACAACCTTGAGAAGCTTATCGAGTGGGTTCCTGTCGGCCCTCGCTTCAGCAACACAATCTTGCAGACTCTGCAGGCCGTGTTGAGGAAACATCCTAACAAGGGTCGCCGGCTCTTGATTATAGCAACCACGACGCAGAGATTTGTGATGAAGCAGCTTGATTTGTTCAGCTCCTTTGATGCCGATATCATGGTTCCAAACGTTATGACGTACGATGAGCTAAAGCACATCTTGCATAGTTCCGGCGCATTTGACGAGCAGGAAATCGGGCAGGCCCTTGCAGGGATTGGCAGTATTTCTGATGACGGAACCATTGGAGTAGGTGTCAAGAAGATCTTCAGTGGTATTCAGACGGCAAAGAAAGATGTGGATAAGGTTGGTCGCTTCGTGCAGGTTATCAACAACGCTATTGAGGCAGAGCGTTCTGGTGCTTAGAGAGGGTTTGCTCTCTCTTGGGTGTGAGAGTACCTAAGGATTGTTGCTACGTTGGCTATTCGCTTGTAAGCTTAATTAGATGCTAATTTTAAACAATAACACTAGAACACGGTGCGTTCAAAGATGGTGTGGTTTCTTCCAACCGAGACTTGCTGTACTCTGGTTTACTGAGCTGCGGCGTAATAGTAGAACATCACGGAGACCCTTGCTGTATGAGAAAAGAAAGCTCTCTTCCCAGCGTAGCATAGAGGCTACGACATTGATCCCTCCATCTGTTGCGGATGTCTGTTCTGCCTGGAGGCAGGCACCCTTCGAAGGAAGCCTGAGGGACTAATTCTCCATTAGTAGCTGGATTTTAGACCCAATTTAGGCTGCATGCCAAAACGTCACACGAACTGAAAAACGGAACGATACTACCCCTGCCCCATGAGTGCAATATTGGTATTTGACTTCTGTAATAAATCTAGTCACAGCTTTAGCTGCAGGATGACACTGCTTTTGTTTAGAATACAGTTCATTCCATGATTAACCCATTGTCTGAGTGGAACCTCATCGTATTACTCGTGTTATTCCTGACCCTCGGTTGCATCTAGCCCAGCGGTCTCTATATTTTTCCTTGACTATTTGGTATCTATGGAAGATTCCGATCTGTTTGGGCCACTCTCGCATCAGAGATCAAAGCTCCAACCCATTCCTGCCGAATACTAAATATGATATCTGCTTAGATCTCCTTATAAAGCGACTCATTTGGGAGCACGCAGAGTCAAGACACCTTGATGGTAGGTACAGCACACCTCCTGCGTCGCTGACGTGCGCAAAAGTGACTGTATGATGTATAGGAGTGAATAACTTACAATAACGTGAATTGTATTCTTTCAAGATAGTGCGGCAGGAAGCTGATTCCCTCGTCCGCTTCACTTCGCGGCTCGACACACACCTTCCCTCTTTCCTCCCATTTCCAACTTCTGTGTTTCTTTTGCTTGCTCCACACCTTTAAAAGGCCCTTTCCTTGCTGTACTTACAGTGTTCCTCCATCTTTTTAGCTTACTACACGTTACACAACCGCAAAACCTACTCGACATATCTAACAACGATGGCAGCCGGCACTTCCACCCCCAAACAAATTCTGAAGAAGGAGGTGTCACAGAGAGAATACGAGTTCCTTCAAGAATGGGCTCCCGACACTGTAAAGGACTACACTCCCATTAAGCCTGGCAATCCGGCAGATAGGATGCCCAAGCATCAGACGGTGCCGAGTCAGCCACACCTCCAGAGCCCCCGACGGGCCAAACCTCGCTTGCCTCTCTACGAGGAATGGAAGACCCAACCACTGCATGGAGAAACGATGAATGAGGCCGCAAAAGCCACAGGTGCACCTGTGAGTATGGAGAATAAAACCAACGGGATCATCCCTCCTGCTCCTACCACAAACGTCAGGGTTAATGGCAGGCATCCTGGCAATTCGTTGGACACAAGAAACCGCCACCAGGAGCCAGTCAAGAGTAATTCTGTCCCAAATAGTAAGTGTCAGGTCTATTTTTGATATCTCGATATAGTAACGATCTCGAACCTCTGGCGTTCTGAATAGATCATTATGCAAAGCCCACTGCGAGCGCTAACAACCGAGTTATCGCAAACCCTCTCCCTAGTGTGGCATCCAAGCTGGGAGTGCCCAGACCGGGAGCATACAAGCCTGTGGAGCAAAGCAACAAGAGGGTCATGGTGAACCAACGCCGACCACCTCCACCGCCTTATGTATATACTGCGCCGAATCGCAAACAGTTCCGAAATGACGACTTGGTCAGATGGTCCGACGGAATCAAGACTCTCGGCGGTGCGATGGCCTACTTCCAGCCGAACTTTATTCAAGACCCATGGAAGGACATGAAGCCAGTTCTGACGAAGTTCCTTGAGCGGTACTGGTAAGACTCCCTTCCAGTGTTTGTTCGAAGTGATTCTTGTTGTGACACATTTCTGATATGGGTATGTATGAATATAGATCGAAAGCGGGAGACTCTTGAGATGGTGGAAGAGGGATGATCAAATTTGAGATTGAAATGGTATCTACGGCGCTGTGTCGTGGTTACATGATGTCGTGCGGTGGTTAAGTGATGTACTGTGAGGATGCCGGCGACATTCGCAGTGTAGTGAGCAGTTCATCACTGGGAGAATAAGCGAAGCTTGCTGGACACGGACGCTTCGAGGTTCCCTAGGAAATAATGGTTTCATTTCTTAGTCTAGAAACGGTTAGCAAATGATTAGCCCCTGAGGCACATAAATGGGAACGAGGACAATCAGTTTATTCAAAGGTTCATGGGAGCGTCCCGTAGACGCTAATGGGTGTGCCAAATGGCCCCACCACTTCTATATACATATTATCAGTGACATCTATAGTTAAGCATAGTTTTATGGACTCAAAGTCAGAGGGACAGTTCAGATCCAAATATAGTACACCCCTCAACCCCGAGCCCCTGACCAAGCGAGCCAGGAAAATGAAACACCCGGGCAAAGTCAAACAAACACTCCCATCTCGAGAACAGAAAATAAGAAAACAACGATGAGGATCAAATAAATGTCACACTAATGCAATATTTAGAAGAAGAAAAATCGTGAGCATCTGTCTAGAGATTTAGGCATGATTGATTTGCCAATAATGCGTTCCTTCCTTTTCCCCCCAAAATTTCAATAGTAGTCACGACCTAAAACGGCAGGCACGGCCTTGGTCTCTGATGGATCGACTTCTCCTTTGTCGCAAATTGACGATGGTCTATCTACTTCGGGGTAGATACTTACTTCCCACTCCCTCTCCCTCCTTTCTCCAATTTCAATTGAAATGCTCGTGCTCACGCACTATCATGGAGCTAATCGATCTATTTCTGTGTTGTTCATCAATGACTAGCACATTATTGGTTGGTATAGCCTTCATTTTACTTACTACTGGGCTTTATTCCACCTAGCCAGGGGATGATGTACTCCACATCGCGGTAATAAAATCTCCCTCATCTTGTGCCTCTTGTGATTCCTTACTGCAAGTATTTTCACTAACTGTCGAGTTGAAGGGCTAAAAGTGGTGTGACCCTTCGAGGAACCGCTACAAGCTAATATCTTGTAATACATAGTCTAGAGCCACCAACCAGTCACTCATCTCACACCTTTCAACACAACTATTGCCCAGTCTGATTACTGCCAACAACTTCACTTTGTGCACTGGAGGCTTTGATACATGATTTAGCTACTTTGACAACCATCTTTTCCGGCCATGGGCTGTGTGATGATAGGCGCTTCGACGTCTAGAGAGCACCGACTACAGCCCGTAGAAGGACATGCATTACCCGCCTTAAAGCGGCAACCAGGAGCGTCCTAACCATGGGGCGGAGCGGAACAGGCGGTACAGCCATGTCCGCTGGCGGAGTGGAGTCAGCAGACGGTTCCAGTTCCGCTCATTCGAGGTGGGGGTTTCCGGAGGACGTCGACGACCGGAAATGACGACAAAGGTTCCCCCACCCTCAAGTCAACGCGTACGTACTGCGAGATCTGGCTGTCCCAGGCCCAGTTCTTCCAAGAGGTATACGAGGTATAGAATGTATCGCAGAGATTATCGCTCGTGAGACCCGGGGGAATCCCTTGGAATGCACTGCAGGATACCTCAGAGGACCGTGCCACACTCCCCCCACAAGCCCATCCCGCTTCAAGGGTGATTTAATGTGATTCGGGTGGGCACATGACCCAGCCCCTGCTCGTCACAAGTCTGATTGTGACTCCCTATTCACCTGGCTGCTCTAGGCTGATGCACGGTGGGCCGCATTCCTGGCACGTGTATGTTACCTTATGGCTATGCTCTCGCCCGCCACCGCAAGCGCGACTACTACTCTTGATGTTTTCAAAGAAACAGTATCCGAATACCAAAGTTATATTCCGCCAGATTCAGCATACTATGGTAGAGTGACGCGTTCACCCAAGAAGACGGCGCCCGAGGAAAAAGCAAAGACATGTACCATCCCAAAATCCCTTCAGTCGCGAGATACCGCAAAAAGATCAAGTCGCCTATCAAAACCTCACGCCGGATGCGAACCCAGAAAACCAATTTTACCCTATACAAAACCATTATCGTCGTTGCCAAATAGAGGTATGCCTCCGAAAATCTGGACCGATGTGAAACCGGACCAATGGGCCAATATGGGCCTTTATCTTGGGATCAGTTGTCGTCAAGAGTGTACTTCTTGGTCGCCCGTCTATACTCATCGGGAAAGTTATTCTCGGCCTTCGCCTTGAGAGCACTATGTACATGATCTGTTAGTATTTGGAGTATTTGGATTCTGGAGGCTTCGGCCGTCATGCAGCAACTGCTGCAGCAACTGCGCTGCCAAGAAATATGTTGACAGCGGAGCGCAGCGGGCGCCTGTGCTCCCCGCCGGCGGAGCGGAGTCCATCCACAGTCGTATATGTGATACAGGAGGGCTCTTGAGGAAACTTTAGGACTCACTTCACACGCTTCTGGGTCCATTCCAAGTCACGCTTGGTCTCGCGAGCAACTTTGATGCCGTCGTTGAAAGTGGCCCGGACTCCTTTTAGACGACGTTGCGCCAGGGCTTGCAATTCCAAAAGCTCTCGCTGTTTGGCATTCAGTTGGCCGGAACTGATTTATGCGTTGTCAGCTTGGTTCCCTCTAGCTTCTGTTGCATGGCAAAATCTGAAAATCAAGCCCAATCCAAAGGCAGCTGGAATCCCTTGGAATCACAAATAGGATTGCTTACGTTTGTGCCTGTACTGCCAATCCCCTGTCCAAAGGTGTGGGGTCGAAGACGTCCTGCATACGGTCGTTGAGAACGTCGACAACATCCACACCAGAATACGAGGCAGAGCTCGATTCATAATCGCCACCAATGCTGCCAGAGCTGTAGCTGAAACCTGCAGAGGTGCGGCTTCCTGCAGTAGTGCTGGTGTCGGAGATATCTGGAGGAGACCCAGCGACTCTGGTGATGGGATAGAGGCTGGCAGGAGCAGGAGCTTTAGAGGGAACATTGATGGGAAGAGAAGGAGACTGGTAGTGATGGGTCGCCATGATGACTCGTCTTGTTGCTTGGTTCACAACAGCGTCAGGAACAAGATAATGGAGGACGATAAGATGAAGACTCTTGAGTCACAAAGCAGAACTGAGGTCTAGATCCGAGAGGATGAAGGTATAGGAGAAAACACGAGGGCAAGATCGCGATGATTTGAATGCACGTCAAACTGACAACCGCACTTGATGAGGTAGAAGAGAAGGAAGAGGAAGAGGAAGAGGAAGAGGACGACGAAGGATGAGAAGAGGGTTTATATAGCCTTCACCGGAGAGTCTTCCCTCCGACGGGAAAGTCCATGACGAGGACAGTGACCTCAATTGAGAGGGGGGATGGGATGGGCGATTGATCCATTGGGCATTGGGCCATCCCCGGAGGTTTCCTTCCCACCCCCCCTTTGACACTCACGTTCCCAATTCCTCCATTTCTCTCCAATCCCAACCCCCCAATTCCGCCCGTCCCTCACTTTCTGGCCGCCAATTCGCTCCTTCCTCCGAATTGACCCCGCTCTGGCTTGGAAAGCGAAATTTTAGGGGAGATCTATGAATGGCCGGAGCCTGGTCCAGGCCGTCCCATACCTCCTCCACTCAGACCCCAACCCGCGCTCCCGTGGCGATTTTTGTCGGGCATCCAGTCTGTCTCAGGTCAGATTCCCCATCCTCGGGCTGCAATGGACCATGGGGCCGCCAGAGATATAAAAGGGAGCTGTGATGGCGAGACGCCAGCTCAAGTGCTTCCGATTCTGCTCTCCAGCGGACGTGCGGAGTTACGAACATTCTCTATATATTGGGAGCTTCTGTCGAACTATCACTCTCTTACGACTCTCTTACACTCTCTTCCAGCATTCAGCTCTCGTGAGAGGCTTTTGTTGCCTAGTCTTCCATCGCTCTACCATTTTGCTCTTTCCTCCACCCTCCGAACCCCGTGGCCACCCATGTGCATCAATATCAGGAGGCTGGGTGGCTGGGAAAGCTTGTGTGCTGCAGCCTGTGATAGAAGGGTCATTCAGCAGAACGACCAACGGCGATAAGAGTTGCGTGACTACAGGATTGCCGAATCATGAGACGACCAATCGCTGTCTCTCATCAGCTATCCCACCGCTGTTTGGTCTAAATCAGGTGAATTCGCAGTTTTGGCCTTGGTTTCCGAAATTACCCTCTGCAATCAAATGCGACTCATTTCGATGGAGGTGAGAATCAGCGGGCTGGAGGCGCTTGCAAGTAAACCTCTTCGGTTAGGTTAGTATTCTGTTTCCTGTTGTGAGAAATTGGTGACGGGATTTGCAAAGCAGAAAATTGCATGCAAGGGTACTTCAACACGCGATGTATGAGAAATATAGGCTGACAAAATCACAGGATCTGCGATGTTTAAGAAAGGGCAAGATTGAGGATCAAGGGTTAGCGTTGGACACCTCTGCATATGCCGGAATCAAATTGAGAGGGGGCGAAGGAACGCAGGAAAAAATAAAATAATAAAGGAAAAAGAAACGGACGAAAAGAGGGCCAGAAGGTGCGCAAAGAACCGAAGGGGGCCTTGCCGCATGCTAGCTATCTCGGCCCAGCAACCTAGAACCTCTCAAGTGGCACGGCAGGGCAGAAATACACCCCTGAAATGGAGGGAAAACCGTGTAACCGACAAGGTTCTTTCCTGGTGCCAATTTGATGACGTGCGAAAGAACGCAAGGCCATCCAAGATTCCGGTACCTGCGAGTGCTTCCCCCTTTCGCTTATCAGCGGCTGTGTGTGATGTTTCTTCAATCATAGAAATATCTTCAGTCAATGAACGAGATTACACACCTGGGGCCTCAACGGGACAAGCGCTCTAAACGCCGCCTACGTGGGCAGTTCGACGGCAAATGGGGCCGAGTGGATCTGGACAATAGCACCTCGACCGGATTGCAGGGAACAGAGAGTTCATTGCGATCTTGATCCTTTCTTCCCAGAACCCTTAACGATGTTGGCTTACCCCCATGAGAAAATTACACAGGCTATTACGTGTAAGAACAGTCATGGCCTTGGAGCCCGATCCCAAAGCTGACTATAAGGGCAAGGTACAGGGAATGTCAAGTCGAGGCCGCGAGAAGGGCGCCAAATTGAAAATGGAATACCGTCAATACAGGACAAAATTCCTACGCTGACAGGTTGACGGGATGCATACAATCAATCCATTTCCATGTCTGGCTGGGTTGCTGACTTCATCGAGAAAACACCACTCAGGATCTACGCCGAGTTCACGGTGACATCCGCTGACAGGCCGTCACATCCAGTGAGAGTCGATTCCTCGATCGTCCCATGTGGGCACCATCATTGCTCTACTACCTTTGCTGCCTCACGCCATCTGGAGGTTGTCGCCTTACAATATTGACTGTGCCGTCTGCCTTTTCTCCCAAACTACCCAAGAATGCCTAAGCACAACCAAATCCAGGAGATCCGCGAGTCGATTACACTCTATGGGGAAGGCCTTTTACACTTAGCCATCAGCCCGACCGGATTAACGGGTAACACAGAGGCCCAACGCGCGAGCGGACTCTCTCACACAAGCTTTCAATCCCCAGGTTTCCTAGTCTGCATGTGCCGCAACTCATTTTTCGTTTTCGGCTTCTGATACTCTTCCGCTGAGAACGAGCTACTTGAGGATGACTGATAAGGCGCTTTTCACACCATGCGATTACCGGCTCGAATCAACCTACACCGTTCGACCTGGCACCCTGAGCTTATGCAACCGGCTGCTCGACAATTTTCTTCGCTGCATAGGCTTTATTGGGTTAAAGACTAGGATGGCTTGGATGCAGACCGGGTCATGGTCGCTTGGATCGTGAGACGACTGTCCCCGCAGCGCCCACAGCGCCCAACAACCGATGCAGATGAGGTCCGTGTTAGGCCTCTGAGGAACGAAAGAATGTCTCCGGGAGTGGAGGGTATCAACATCGACCCAACGACGGCGGGTGCATTGCGGATGGGGGGAAATGAAAGGAATGCAGGGGCTGTGGGGTTGTGAGGCCCTTCATTCGCCTATCGTCCGTTTGCTCGCATCGTCTCTCACCGCCACATCAGTGCTCCCCTTCAGTTGGTTCCTTTTTCTTCCATTCGGCCATCATGACGCTGACTGCTCCCTACGTCTGGAGTAGAAGTTCCTCCGAGCCCGCCAGTCATTGGGCCCTCTCTTATCCTCTGTTTGGCTTTTCCAGAACATCGCGAGCGGGGTGCTACTAAATTGGTTGTCCGATTCCAGCCAACGACATGCATGCACTATTTCTTCAAGTCTGGGGACCCGCGATTGCTATGTCCAGTCTACGCAACTAATCGATCTTGCGATCATCGCGGCTCATTCCTGACTTTGTTGGAACGCCCGATCCCTTAGTCGCCGGATCCCAGCCACGACGGCAACCTAGGTGAGATTCATATACAGAAATCCCAGCCAGCTCTCACCATGCCAAAGCTCTTTGGAGCAACGTAACCTCTTGTGGCGGGCTGGGTTTTCTCCTTCGGTATACCGCTGTGCAACCTCTGATGCCTCTGCATCCTCAGCATCTTTTCTGTATCATGTTCTGCCTTTCACACTCCTGTTCTTCCCTGCGACTCCCACTTTCTTCCCCTGTGTCTTCTGCATATGCCCGTCTAGATGACTGACTCACAGGACGCGTATCCGCCGCAGGTGGCCACTAAGGTGGCTAAACGGATGGTTTCCGCCCAACGCAAGTGTTCCAGTCTCGATATGAATGGTCGTCGGATCATAAGACAGACTTGAAAAAGAAAAAAGAACGACAATTACAGGTTATGACGACCATTTAGGCTCTAGTATACCAGCACCACGCCTTCAGATCAAGCAAGGAAATGCCAGTCACAGATAGTTCCGAGTCTCTATTCGGCACGTATCCGAGACATCTGAAGACCAAACGAGCATTCTGTCTGTGACCTTCATTACTATTGCTACCTTCAAGGCGAGCAATCAGCCATCGTCCGTCATCTGAAGTCTCAACGAAGGTTACACAAGGGAGGCAAGGAAGTGAAAGGGCGCCATTAACAAGCCGTATGGAGTATGGAGCGAGCGCATGACTCCAAACAGGTAGGAAGAGATGTTCAGATTTCTCCCGACAAGTAGAATGGTAGGTAGGTAGGTAGTAGACACTAAGCGCGATTTCATAATAGCTTCAGATCAGAACAGACAGATAAAGCAAGATGCAGTCCATACATAGCACATGATAACCGTAATAAGCAAGCGTAACTCACCACGTTCTATAGTCTACAGTATCTTACGGAACTGTTCTCCCAAATCCAAGCTACCTACCTACTATATTCTTCCTAGTCGGTCCTCCTCTGCGGACCGAACCAGTGGACATTAACCATTCGGTACTTCTTCACTTCATAGTGGTTACCCAACCCAGCATGCGGAACATCTTCTCCGGTCGGCGGCAGCACCACTACTTGATATTATCCAGCCAGCTCATTTATTTCCCTTTATAGGTTCTACTACTAAGTATTTACCTACTCACTTCCGACTCCATTTCAAAAAGCATGAAAGTATAGATGATTATGAAATCAGAAATATAAATATAATATTGATAGTAATACAAATATTGAAAGTAAATATCATCACTATCATCCAGATACTTATGCAGCAATTACCCAAATCATGCTCCGTCCCAGGGGTGGTAGGTAAAGTGATAAGTAACAACTGAAACAATCGAAGAGAGAAGCGAAAAGAATAGTATGCAAGCCCGCCGTAGTAACTTCTTGACCCCAGGGCCAGATCATTCCCAGAATGCATTAATATTGAGGATAAAAAAGAAGCAACAAAAACACAGATATTATGAACTGGCCCGGCTAGAGTAAGTCACTCAGTCGCTAGTATGGATATAATTGATAAATAATAATGATGATGGATATAATCTACTCGGGAACGATAGGGTAGGTGGATAAGGTGGTTGGAAGGGAGGGAGGGGGGTGTGAGGATAGAGGATACCCCGAGGACAAAAGCACGGACGGGGCCATTGGCAAAAGAAGGGAGAAGAGAAATTGATATATAAGAAAAGAGAACAACGCTCTGTTATCTGCAAATACAATTCCAGAAAGTTAAATGTCGTGCTCATAAAGCTGGTATCGGGGAAAGCCGCGTGAGGGAGGCATGGCTTCACAGGGAGAAAGACGACTGAGAACTGCTCAACAAATCCGAGAACTGACGCCATATAAAACG